ATCAATCTCTGTATCTACCAGTTCAGAGCCACATCAGCTCTGGACCATGATGTCCTCTTTAGGGAATAGCCTTCTGGCTGTGCCTTAGCCCACTGTCTCTTCACTTTCAGGGGACCTTCATCCAACTACTGGTCTCAGCGGCCAATTGCTGGCTCTCATTTAGCCCGTTGTCTCAGGGGCAAACCACAATCTGGATACTAACCATTTTCATCATCGACCAGTGAAGTGCAATCAGCTGCCTGTTTCTCTGGGTCACCCTTCCCCATAGCCTTAGTCCCTTCTCAGCCCTTCCAACAAGGCCCTCCGTCTGGCAGTGGTCAGCAAAGAGCTCCCTCAGTCCTGCTACCCTACCCAGTCCTGTTCTATGTAAGGTGTTTTCCTAGGCAGCCCATCCTTCTCCCTTGAAGGTCAGGTTGCTCCAACAAGCCTTCTCCAGACTGGCTCCCAATAAGCCCTTCCTTGATTGGCTAGGGTTCTGCACAGCCTCTCTTGCCTGCTTTAAACACTTCCATATCAGATGTCCCATTACATCACTCTTGGAGTATATTAGTTCTGCTGCTCACACACATTTCATCATATAAATTGTGAAGTCAGTGGAGAATTCTGCTTGGGAACTTATTTCTTTTTCTGTATTTCTTTCTTTTTATCCTTAACTTTACTCTCTTTAAGTCATTCTTTTTCCATTGCCTCCTTATGTGTTGGAAATACAGGCTGTTTTTTCAGTAAGAGCTGAATCCAGATGTTTATAAATAGTTCCTAAAAATACCCACATTCCCTATGTGTTTGTCCTATAAATAGAGTGCTATCAAATTCACAGCCATGAGAAATGCATCACGGATCGTGAAATCTGGTCTCCTCATGTGAAATCTAGACTTTTACTGTGTACTTTTTCTCTATACTATAAAGATTTCATGGGGTGGGGGAATGGTGTAGGAAGACTGTAATTTCTCAAATTGGAGGTCCTGACAAAAGAGAAAGTTGTGCAGGAGTCACAGGGTTATTTTAGAGGAGATATGGTATTGCCACCCTTATTTTGCTACTGCCTTAGGACTGGGCAGCCAGAGAATAGTAACTGCTAATTGAAGCCCCAGCTCTGGAAGCAGCAGTGCAGATGTAAAGGTGGCAATACCATTGCATACCATCCTTACTTCTGTGGTGCTGCTGCTGCTGCTGGCAGTTCTGCCTTCTGATTTGGGCTCCCAGCCAGCAGCCACCAATCTCCAGCTGCCCAGCTCTGAAGCAACACTGCCAGCAGCAAGTGCAGAAATAAGCAAGTGTAGCAATACCACAACCTCCCCCTACTTTTACCTTGTGATTCCCCCCTCCCCACTCCTTTTTGAGTCAGGACCCCTACAGTTGCAACACCATGAAATTTACCATTTTTAAAATCCTATGACCATGAAATTGACCAAAATGGACTGTGAATTTGGTAGGGCCCTATTTATAAACATGCTTTTGTTTAACCAATTTTAGCTTACATTAGAGCAGGGGTAGGGAACCTCAGACCTGGGGATTGGATGTGAACCCCAACTTGCCTGGATCTGGCCCCTGAGGCTCAGCCTCCCCCAGAATTGGGGAACCTGCGCAGGCACTCTAATCTCCCCTCCCCCCAACACCCCACTGCAGGCTTGAGCACGCAAAAACCTCCCTAGGGTCTGGTTTGGGAGGGGAAAGTGGGGAGTGTCTTTCTCCTTCTCAGTCAGGAGCCACATCAGTGAGGTTTTTTTTTTTGCGGTGGGTGGGAAGAGGGTGTGTTTTGGTTTTGGGTTTTTTTTGCTTCTCTCTTGTGTGCGGTTCCCAACCCAAAAAAGGTTTCCCACCTCTGCATAAGAGAGAAAAAGGCAGACATTGTATCTTTTTCTACTTCACCTTGCAGTTTTTTTTCTAGGAAGTATTCACTTTTGTTCAATTTTGAGGGGTTTTTTCTAGCATGCTCTTATTTGGAGTGTTTAATTTCCTAATTTATTTACACAAAGACTGGAATCATTGCATGTTCAAAGCAGTTTTCTTTGCCCAGGATTGAAACCAAAGTAAGCTGCATTGGTGCAAGCCACTTTTTACTGAAGTGCAGCATCTCTATACCAATAATTGTACAGTGCAGCTACCTTGGTGTAAAATGAAACCCATCATAGATGAATCCTTGGGTTTTCCAGCCTCTTTCCTTATAAGAGTTCTTGAAAGTTATTTCTAAACTACTGTATAAAACTGTTAGTACTAAACTCCCTTCCTCTATTTCAGTATCATTAAGAGGCTGTAAACACATCCCTTTTATAGGCCAGTATATTCCAATACTAAATAATTGAGGATTAGATGTAGATTTTCTATTTAGATTTAATGGAAGCTGTGTCTTTTTCACATCAGGACTTTCAGTGACTTTATAGTAATTTCTTTGTTATATTAAGTATTAAGGATGTCAGTATGTAGTTGATTACATGATTAACCAATTAACCTGGGCTTATCGGTTAATCCCGTCAGCTACATGCACTCCCCCCTGCTTTGCTGCCTCTGTATCAAGCTGGCTGTCCATGAGCACTGAATCCCATGGAGCTGCCTACCTCCACCGTCCACGCTGCTGCTTCTGATAGAAAGAGCAGCAGCGTGGAAGGTGAGAGAGGCTGGCGGGAGCTGGTACACGTGGGAAGCCATCTTTCAAGCTAGCTCCCGGTGCCAAAAGCTGGCTCCCCACATGTGCTGGCTCCACAGAGCTGCCTGTCCCCTCCCTTGCTGCCTCCCAAAGAGGCAGGGGGAGCATGAGAGCCTACCGCAAAGCAGCCTGTGTTCATGATGGGCCCAGGCTCACTAAAATTTAATGTAATTACATGATTACCCAATTACATGGTATCTAACATCCCTATTAAATGTAATTCTGACATGTCAGTCCCAGGATATTAGAGAGAATAGGTGGGCAAGGTAATATCTTTTAATGGACCAACTTCTAGCCAGTGGATTTATGGCTTATTACAACGACCTGTCACCCACTCTTTTTGTCCTATGACTTGCATTAATGTTAATGGGCCACTATACAATTTGAATGGTCCTTTACAATTTGTGATAATTATTTATGCTAAACAACTTGTTCCACTTTGCATTTTGCTGTGATACGGGAGTACCTTTCCCAGACCAATAGAAGAGCTATTTGACTCAAAAGCTTATCTCTTACACCAACAGAAGTCGGTCTAATAAAATATATTACTTCACCCACTTTGTGTTTCTCACATTAATTCCATTCATTTTGGGAATGGATGCTTCTGCCTAAGAGTGTAGTGCATATTTCAACTTTTCTCTTTAAAAAAAATCCATTTACTCTGATGAGAAACACTGTGAACTAAGGATGAAATGGTTTCAAACAAATAATCCCTGCCTTTTTCCAATCCACATAGGTATTTTAAGCAGATTGATTGATTAGGTACATTTTTCTTGAACACTCTTCAACTACAACCTCCATTCTGTCTCTTGCTCAAAAAAAGCATGAGATATCAGTAATCTGTATCGTTACATGTTCTTCATATTTCTGTTTTTCAAGTGGCTTTGCAAACCAACCAATCCATAGTTCTTAAGTACGTTCAAACCAAATATAAAAAAACATTATAATTTTCTTACTGTGGAAAATAAAGGTGAATGTAAAAATACCTATGTGCTAAAAGTATCAGAGGGGTAGCCGTGTTAGTCTGAATCTGCAAAAGCGGCGAGGAGTCCTGTGGTACCTTATAGACTAACTGAAGTGTTGGAGCATAAGCTTTCGTGGGCAAAGACCCACTTCGTCAGATGCATGTAGTGGAAATTTCCAGAGGCAGGCCAGAATCAGGCTGGAGATGACGAGGTGGATCCAATCAGGGAGGATGAGGCCCACTTCTAGTAGCTGATCTGGAGCTGTGAATTCCAAGAGAGGAGAAGCTGCTTTTGTAGTTAGCGAGCCATTCACAGTCTTTGTTTAATCCTGAGTTGATTGTGTCAATCTTGAAGATGAACTGTAGCTCAGCAGTTTCTCTTTGAAGTCTGGTCCTGGAGTTTTTTTGCTGCAGGATGGCTACCTTTAGATCTGCAATTGTGTGTCCAGGGAGACTGAAGTGTTCCCCTACAGGTTTTTGTATGTTGCCATTCCTAATATCTGATTTGTGTCCATTGATTCTTTTACGTAGGGACTATCCAGTTTGGCCAATGTATATAGCAGTGGGGCATTGTTGACACATGATGGCATATATTACGTTAGTAGATGTTCAGGAGAATGAACCAGTGACAGTATGGCTGATCTGGTTAGGTCCTGGGATGGTGTTGCTGGTGTATATATGTGGGAAGAGTTGGCACCGAGGTTTGTTGCATGGATTGGTTCCTGAGTTAGTTATTATGGTGCGGTGTGTAGTTGCTGATGAGAATATGCTTCAGATTGGTGGGTTGTCTGTAGGCAAGGACTGGCCTGCCTCCCAAGACCTGTGAAAGCCTCGGTGCCAACTCTGCCCACAACGCCATCACAGGACCTAACCTGATCAGCCACCTCGTCCTCTCCAGCCTGATTCTGGCCTGCCTCTGGAAATTTATTTATACCCGCCTCTGGAAATTTCCACTACATGCATCTGACGAAGTGGGTCTTTGCCCATGAAAGCTTATGCTTCAACACTTCAGTTAGTCTATAAGGTGCCACAGGACTCCTCGCCATATGTGCTAAAACTTTACATTCAAAATTTAATTCTGTATCTTTATACTCTATAAAATAACTGTCACAAATATTACATAGCTGAGATTTTTCAATGAGATTATCTGTTAAGACAATGGATACTCAAGAAGACAAAGCATGATAGTCATCTGCAAAACATTATATGATTTTATTTAACATGCATGAGAAAGGAATGTGTGCCTCTAACCTATTAAAAGATAGTTTTGTCTTAGAAATGTTAAAGATTTTGCAGTGGTAATTTATGCTCAATGCAAGGGGAGAGAAAATGCTTTAAAATAATTATTGAATGTTTGTAATTTGTTCAGTGTATTATGAAATGCTATTTCAGTTTGCTGAGGACGAAGGCAATTATATTTGTGGCTTAGCAGTGATTGAGTATGAGACTGCAGAACAGGCTGAGGAAGTGCAAGAAGTCACAAATGGCATGACTGTCAGAGGAAATAAAGTCCAGGTATCGTACTGTGCTCCTGGAGCACCCGGGCGAAGCACATTAGCTGCACTTATTGCAGCTCAACGGATGGTAAGGGACCTTCCATTTTCAAAGAGAAAATACTTGAAAAGTTTACATTATAAATTGTACATATGTAAGAATTTATAAAATCCATTGGAAGAGAAGTCCAAAAGTGCTTTTATAATCAAATTACTATTTAAATCAAATTATTGCTCAGACAAATGAAAATTCTTTTTGAACAGGAGAAAGCCATTTGGCTTGATTAAATCATAGAATCATAGGACTGGAAGGGACCTCAAGAGGTCATCGAGTCCAGCCCCCTGCCCTCAAGGCAGGACCAAGCTCTGTCTACACCATCCCTGACAGATGTCTATCTAACCTGTTCTTAAATATCTCCAGAGAGGGAGATTCCACCACCTCCCTTGGCAATTTATTCCAATATTTGACCACCCTGACAGTTAGGCATTTTTTCCTAATGTCCAATCTAAACCTCCCTTGCTGCACTTTAAGCCCATTACTCCTTGTCCTGTCCTCAGAAACCAAGAGGAACAAATTTTCTCCTTCCTCCTTGTGACACCCTTTTAGATATTTGAAAACCGCTATCATGTCCCCTCTTAATCTTCTTTTTTCCAAACTAAATTAAATGTTAATATTTAAACTGTAGTTCTGCTCTGACAAGTAACAGACAATCCAGAGTCTAACGTTTCTGTAAAATGTTGTGGATACATATCAAAATGCTTGGTTTACAAATGAAAAGATGATTTTTTTAACCTTCCTCTAAACAAGATCTGAAGTTATAACTCAGTCTGTTTAAAGTGTTATTTTGTGTCTTCACTAGAAAAGTGATTGAGTTTAGATTTGAGTTGGCCAACTCACATTAGTTAATGAGCAAACTCAACTTTCTTTCTACTTAAGACAAGCACATAAACAGCAGGGGTTCGGAATAAGAGACTGTTTCAGTTCAAAACTAAACTAAGAAAGAATACTTTTAAATAGCTATAAGTTGGCTTACTATGAGAAGTAAATGTCATGTAAAAATAAATTTCAGTATAGTAGGAATGACTTAATTTCATGTTTGGTATAGAATGAAGCTTTTATGCCCGACATGTCATATCAAATTATTTCCTAGAGAATTGGATGTGAAAGTAAGTGGCACATGAAGCTGGCTTGAAGATTGTAGCAGAACATTCTCATTACTTTTGATAGATCAGAGTAAACTCAGCTACTTTTCTATAGAGTTACTCATCTCAACTATATAGAAGAGAAGCTGAGTTTAGTGTTATTAAATGTGACATATTTTATTGATCTTAACTGTGGACCACATCTCCTTCTTTATTTTTTAGAGTTGTGGAAAAAATGTTTTTTTCAGGGGAAAAAACTTCCTAATAGATTTTATGTCTATGTTTTGTGTTCTGGGAGGAATAAGGTGATAGTTTGAGGGTGCATGTTGCTGTAGGGCACATTTTTGAGCTTCTCTTTCATGCTGAAATATTTCCATAAAAGGAACATACAGGCAGTCCCCAGGTTACGTACAAGATAAGGACTGTAGGTTTGTACTGACCCGGGAGGGGCCCCGGGCAGCCAGACAATTGGAGCTGCTCTGCCCCGGGATTCCCCGAGTCAGCCACTGGTCAGTTTCAGTAGCGGCTGACTTGAGGACACCTGGGGCAGAGCAGCTGGGGACCAACCGGCAGCGCCCCAGCTGCTCTATCACAGGCGTCCTCGAGAAAAGCCTGGTCTGCTGGGAGGGGGCGCATTAGCTGCGCTCCCCTCCCCCAGCAGACCATGGAGACGCGGGCGGCGGGACCGAGATGCGCCGCGGTCCCACCGCCCGGGTCCTCCGCAGCTTTGCTCCGCGTCTCTCTGGTCTGCTGGGGGGGCCCCCCACCAGCAGACTAGGGAGACACGGAGCAGCTTTTCTCGCCCCAGAGGACGCGGGTGGTGGGACCGCGGCGCGTCTGGGCGGTCCCGCTGCCCGCATCCTCCGGGGCGAGAAAAGCCCCGTTCGTAACTACGGATCCGACATAAGTTGGATCCGCGTGACTCAGGGACTGCCTGTACATTTGAAATCTTTTTGATGCTACAAACGTTACATTATTATTTCAGTCTCTGAATGAATGGTTTAAAAGGTTGAGTGAGAAGTAATGAGACTATTAAGATTCTGTTATGCGTATTAGATTTATACTTTTCTTATGTTTCTGATCTAGAAACCTAAAGAGGAAAATGCAGTAACCTTGATAATTTCAATGTAAAGGAAATGCTGGACTATGTTTCGAATGAGCTTTACAACGAAAGGGTTAATTACATATATTTGATGAATGGAAATAGCAGGAACACTGATCTTTGAACTCTGGTGTGCAACATATGGAAATAATATCCAAATATGGCTCTAAACATATTTGTTTTATAAATCAAGGGTTTGCACCAATAAATTTGTTTAAGGTAGTCATGACTATAGAATGTGTTTTTTATTTAATCCGGAGTCTAATGTTTCTGTATTTCTATTAATTCCAGATGAGAAACAATAGAAAAGGATTGCTTCCAGAACCAAACCCAGTGCAGATCATGAGGAGTTTAAATAACCCAGCCATGTTGCAAATGTTACTGCAGCCACAATTGCATAGACGTACTCGAAAACATGGTAAGCCTTTGAAAAAATAGATACATAAGAAAAGAATTCTTAGTGTACTTAGTGCACTTAGTATAGCAATCGTTAGCTTAAAATAAGCAGGAGCAACCTTTTAAAATACATATTTTTATAATTGCCTCTAAATAGTCATCTTTATACAACTGACAGAAAACATATGGACAACAAACTGTCATGAGAGACAAGCTAGGTGAGGTAATATCTTTTATTGGACCAAATTCTGTTGGTCAAAGAGACAAGTTTTCAAGCTACACAGAGCTCATCTTCAGGCATGGAAAAAATAATCAGTGTCACAGCTAAATGCATGATTGAAAAGATTGGGAAGCATTAGGAATTACCACGTGTTGCAAGATAGCATTCCTGATGAAACGGGCAATTAATACCTCTGCAGAGGTATAACTCAGAAGCACATATCTTTCTGTAAGGGTATGTCTACACTTGCACCCTAGTTTGAACTAGGGATGCAAATGCAAGCATTCGAAATAGTCAATGAAGCAGGATTTAAATATCCCGCACTTCATTAGCAAACTCCTAGTAACGTTAGTTTGAACCAAGGTGTCACGTATCTCCCCTGTCCCCCCACTCCCCTGAGCTCATGTGGGAGCGAGTCCTCACATTGACTGCACAGAGGCCCCGGTCCCTACCTTTTTTCTGGGCTTGTAAAGTGAAGGGGGTTAGGTATTGGCCCACGCCAGTGAGCTCCTGGGAGGCCAACCTACCACGCTGCAAGCCGTATAACTCCCCACAGTTGGGCAATAGTCACCAGTCGTTTGGGCGGGGGAGGTCTTGCCGCCCGTCACGGGGTTACTCACGGCCCCTCCTGGGGGTTGTTGTGAACGTCGCCAAGGGGTGTCATCACCGGCAACCCCGGACGTGGGTTCTACGTGGGGCCTATAGTCTGGGCTCCCAGGTCCTGCACTCCAGCCGCTGCCCTGTTCCTCCGGCGTCTCGGCTCCCCACTGGTCTGCTGTCTCCCCTCCCCCGTCCTCCCCTCTCCCCAGCCTCGCC